CCTTCCTCCTGCTGCATTTTGGGGCTTTTTGTTCTTCTTTTTCTAATTCTGATTCAGGTGGTGGGTTAACTTGTTTATTTGAGATTGTTCTTCTTTTTTGAGGAAGGCCTGTGACATCCTTCTCGGCAGGGGCCTCAGCCCCATCTCCCCCAGCTGCTGTTTCCACCTCATCATCTTCATAGTCTAAGAGCTCATTGTCCACATCATTCTCTGCCATAACTGAGCCAGCAGGGGGAGAAGGGGAGGGGTCTTTGGATAGGTTCACGCAGAATAAGCGAAGACAAGGGAGGAAGGAGAGTGGGGGCTTGAGGAACAGCAGAAAAAAATACACACAATAGTTTCTGACAGAAGAGCTGGGCAAGGCGAAGACGTATGGCGGCGGCAACAGAGACGAAGGAGGGAATCTGCTTTCACTTCCGGTTCCCGGCTTCCCTCTACCCAGGCCCCCAGCCTCCAAAAGTTCATATTCTTTACAGATGCAAAAATCCTCAACAAAATATTAGCAAACTGAATCCAACAATACATAAAAAGGATCATATACCAGGATCAAGTTGGATTCATTTGAGGGTTGCAAGGATGGTCCAACATATACAAATCAATCATTGTGATAAGCTCCATTAACAAAAGAAAAGACAAAAACCACATGATCATCTCAGTAGATAACAGAGAAAGCATTTTATAAAATTCAGCATCCATTCATGATAAAAACTCTCACCAAAGTAGGTACAGAGGGAACATATCTCAACATAAAAGCCATTTATGACATATATACAGCCAGTATAATACTGAACAGTGAAAAGCTCAAAGCTGTCCTGCTAAATTCTGGGATAAGATAAAGGTGCCCACTCTCACCACTTCTATTCACCATAATATTGGAAGTCCTAGCCACAGCAATCAGACAAGATAAAGAAATAACAGGGATCCAAATTGGAAGGGAAGGGGTAAAACTGTCATTATATGCAGATGACATGATACTCTATATAGAAAACCCTAAAGACTCCACACAAAAACTATTAGAACTAATAAATGAATTCAGCATGGTAGCAGGATACAAAATTAATATACAAAAGTCTGTTGAATTTCTTTATGCTAACATTGAAATATCAGATAGAGAAAGTAAAAAAAAAAAATCCCTGTTAAAATTATGTAAAAAAAAAAAAAAACCCCAAACTAGGAATAAGCCTAATCAAGGAGGTGAAAGACCTATACACCAAGAACTATAAAACACTGATCAAAGAAATTGAAGATGATTTAAAGAAGTAGAAAAATATCCCATGTTCTGTGATTGGAAGAATTAATATTGTTAAAATGGTTATGCTACCCAAAACAATATACAGATTTATTGAGATCCCTATCAAATTACCCAGGACATTTTTCACAGAAAGAGAATAAATAATCCTAAAATTTACATGGAACCACAGAAGACCCAGAATTGCCAAAACAATACTGAGAAAAAAGAACAAAACTGGAGGCATACCCTCCCAGCTGTCAGACAATACTACGGTAGTCAAAACAGTGTGGTACTGGCACAGAAATAGACTCATAGATCAGTGGGACAGAATAAAGAGCCCAGAAGTAACACCCCATGTCTATGGTCAATTAATCTTCATCAGTAGAGGCAAGAATATACAATGGAGAAAAGGCAATATTTTCATCAAGTGGTGCTGGAGAAGCTGGACAGCTGCATGTAAATCAAGGAAGTTAGAACATACCATCACACCATACACAAACTCAGAATGGTTTAAAGACTTAACTGTAAGAGACCAACACCCTAAAACTTCAAAAGACAGCATAGGCAAAACATTCTCTGATGTGAATCATAGCAATATTTTGTTAGATCATTCTCCCAAAGCAAAAGAAACAAAAGCAAAAATAAACAAATAGGACCTAATTAAATTTACATGCTTTTGCACAGCAAAGGAAACCATCAACAAAACAAAAAGACAACCTATGGAGTGGGGAAAAAATATTTTTAAATGATGTGGTCGACAAGGAGTTAATTTCTAAAATATACAAACATCTCATACAACTCAGTATCAAAAGAACAAACAACCCAATCAGAAAGTGGGCAGAAGACCTAAATAGAAACTTCTCCAAAGAAGACATCCAGATGGCCAACTGGCACATGAAAAGATACTCAGCATCACTAATTATTAGAGAAATGCAAATCAAAACTACAATGAAGTATCAGCTCACTCTGGTCAGAATGCCCATCATCAAAAAGTCAACAAATAGTAAATGCTGGAAAGAGTGTAGAGAACCCTGTGTGCCAATGTCTGAAATATGTATTCCTCCCCCAGGATCATGCAGGAACCCTTGTGCACTCTTGGTGGGAATGTAAATTGGTGTAGCCACTGTGGAAAACAGTATAGAGGTTCCTTAAAAAACTAAAAATAGAACTATCATATGATCCAGCAATCCCACTCTTGGGCATATATCCAGAAAAGATGAAAACTCTGATTAGAAAAGATACGCACACCCAGTGTTCATAGCAGCACTGTTTATAGTAGCCAAGATGTGGAGACAACCTAAATGTCCATCAACAGATGACTGGATAAGGAAGGTGTGGTACATATATACAATGGAATATTACTCAGTCACGAAAAAGAATGAAATATTGCCATTTGCAACAACATGGATTGACCTAGATATTGCCATACTAAGTGAAATAAGGCAGATAAAGACAAATGTATCACTCATATGTGGAATCTAAAAAATAATACAAAAATGAATCTAGATACAAAACAGAAACAAGCTCATAGAGAACAAACCTATGGTTACCAAAGGGGAAAGGGAAGGGCAGGGAGGGTATGGGATTAACAGATAACACACTAGTATGTATAAAACAGATAAGCAACAAGGATTTACTGTATAGTACAGGGAACTATATTCAGTATCTTGTAATAACCTATAATGGAAAATAATCTGAAAATATATAACTGAATCACTTTGCTGTACACCTGAAATTAACACAATATTGTAAGTTAACTATTCTTTAATTTTTAAAAAGTTCATATTCTTTACCACTATGATGACTTCCACAGAAGCAGTTTAAACATCACTTGGTAAGCACTGGCATTTGCAATCCAGGTGGCCTCAGCCACCAACCTGTTCTAGGCTTAGTCTGTTGTGGTTTCTGTACCTCTTTGAGGCCACAACCTCCAAACTTGCCAGGGATAATACAGCAGAGTGATCATTACTGTAGGAGAGCCTGGCCAAAGGTAAGAGTTACCTATCATGAATGCTTCCCAAGTACCCTAGAGACAGGAACCACTCAAGGTTAACCCAGGGGAGAATGCATGCAAAGTCTTTCTCTGTTTTCTGGGTTAAAGGTTTTGAGCATTTTAAAGAAAGAGAGACATGTGAGAGAGCATGTCATGTTCAGGGTGAAACAGAGATAATAGTTAACATTCATATAAAGCCAATCATTTGTGTTTAGTAGAGATAAAACACATAGCATTTAGTAAAACAAAACCCAATCACATGAAATCAGTATGCATGATTTCAATCTTTTATTCAACAAATATCTGCTGAGTATTTAGTTTACTTTGTGGAAGGCTCTGTCCTCAGTGCTGGAGACTTTCCCCTGTATTTCAGTTTCTATTCTGGTTCTCAGAGCATAATGTAATTTAAGACAACTGGTGATAATCAAAAGGTGACCTGGGATCCAAATAGCTTCCCCTAGAGCCGGGTCTAAAGCCTCCCTCTTTGACACAAGGAGTCCTGCAGGGGGATGCTGTGAACCAGCAAAGCTGTCTTCAGGAGTATCAGATAAGGAGGTATTGCCAGGACACGACTCTGCCCTCTAATTAAGGATTTGGGAAGTGGGAAAAAAATGGTTGTTGAATAACATTTAGCTTTTTATTGAGCATTATCCTGAAATGCTTTTAATGTGCCTTGAAGAAAACTCCTAGAACATAAGGATACTCTGAATTTGCTGTTTAGTTTAGTTTAGTTTAGTTTAGTTTAGTTTTGGTCTTCTAAAACTGAACTTTGTAGA